TCTCTCCTCTCTCTCTCTCCCTCTCTCTCTCGCTCTCTTTCTCCCCCTTCTCTTTTTCTCTTTCTCTTTTTTTCCTCTCTCTTTGTTTGCTTTTTTTTGAAGATTTCTTCAATATTCCTAATTACAATTAAGAGTTGAAATCTCATTAATTCATTCCAGTCCAATTATTGATGCTAAAAGTCACTGTTACAACAACATCACCAATAATTCCAACGAAATTAACTAGAAAAGAAAAAAACTTTGGTAAATTTGTTTTTGGTTTAATTTTGTTTCTGAAAAAATCTAAAATGTAAACAAAATGCTGCAAAATTGTAACCAATTATTTTTTTTCTGCCAGTATCAGATTAAGAAACATAATTAAAAATTTGTATTGAAAGCTACTATTTACTTGGTTGATTTCTTAACATTACTTATTGATAAGATCACTTACTGATAATGGAATAGAAGTATAATTAACAGCAAATCAGAAATTTACACAATTCATGTCGTTTGTAGTAATAATGCAAAATTAAAATAATGTAAAATTAAATTAAAAATTAAAAGAATTTCATTTTTATTGATCAATTTCTATGCAAACAATGAAAGTTGGAAGAAACCAACGAATCGAACATGAAGATGCATTTATGAAGTATGGTTTCATACCAATTTGCTTTTTCAAACTTTCGTTTCCTCACAAACTAATTTTCTATTTCGTTTTAGGTAGCTTACCATTATTACTCAAACATTGACATCTTTCACAGGTAAGTAAACTTTACACTTCACTTACATTTCTCTTAAAATTATACTGAATTTCATCAGAAATTTCACTTGCTTATTATTAAATCAACAAAAACCTTAAATCGCCAACAAATTTGTTTACATGCGAAAATTACTTCAGCGTATTTGGCATTTTTGGTGGTTAAATCTGCTGCAGAATTTGATCAAACTAAAGCTCCCAGTTTGAATTCCCTATATTGGAGCTATCAATATGGTAGAATAGAAAGTTAAAATTCAGTTGAATTTTAGATTTTTGGAGTTTAACTTTGAGTCTCCAATTATATGTGCAAGTATTGAATGCAGAAACTCGTCAGATGGAAAAATACAAGGGTTTTTTCTCGATTAAATTCAAAATAAAATCAAACTAACCCTCTGATGCTGATGCCAAGAATTGCTGATAGGAAATGAAAATACTCATGAAGAAGAAGAGCAACCAATTTTAAATGCATTTTAATGTTTTAGTAACCCAAAAAAATTATGTTAAAAAGAATGATATGAAGAAAGAACGATTTCTTAAATGAAGCAAATTTAACTTTCGTTTAAATTCATCTTTTAAAAGTGTTCATTTTTTAAAATGCCAGTTTAATAATCTTAAAATGCTAATTTTAATTTTAATTGTTTCCAAAAAATGCCAACTTGAATGATATAACAATACAACATTGAAAAACAATAACATTAAACGATGGGGAAAAGGCATCGATTTTCAAAGCATACGGTATACTTCAAAATATGCTATTAAAATTTAAACGTTGAAAGAATGAAAAGTTAAATAGGACAAAATTCAGCAATAAGCATCAGAAAGATTTAAATACTTGAAATGAAAAAAGAGTAATGATTCAAAGAAGAAATACTTTCATTGATTTTTCAATGATATCTGATAACTCGAAATTTACACAAAAGTTATGGCTCATTTAACTTATATTACCTCATCTTTAGCAATCAGCGTTCTAAAGATGTCTTATTTCGCAGAGAAATTTCTAGAATTCCCTTGAGCATACAAACTAATTAAGTTATTACTGAATGGTACTTAAGATTTTAAATGATTGTAAGCATCGTTGATACATTTGTAGTTTTGCATATCAATTTCAAATATATAGCATTGAATAGGCCGTCTTTTCCAATTACAAAGTTGGAACATTTAAAAGGTCATAAAATCCGAAATTTAAAATTTCCGAAATTTTATGGGAGGAGACTGTTACAATTAAAAATTATTAATACATATATTATCGTATTGCCATTTACTCTGAATATTTGTAAAGAAATATACTTTTGGGAACAAAGATATGAACAAAATTAGCCATTGGTTATTTTAAAGGTTTAATTTTCAATGGTACATCCTAATTTTAAAAAGAAAATACAAGTCAAACGATGTCTAATAATAGGAAAATGAAATAAGTAGTAGCTATATGAAGCAATTTACCTATACATAATACACCTGGAAAAGGTTCCTTTTACCAATAGATTCATATATTTTTAAATGATTTTTTATGGATGTGATTTGTTTTGTTTTAACCTGCCATTTAAAGATGAAGAAGGTGAAAGCATGCATTTGCCTGATTGAAAGTAAGTAATGTATCCTAGAATAGAATCAGTGATAACATCAAGGGATTTAAGTATCAAAATCACCTTTACACAGGAATTGATGGTTATGAGTTTGAACTGATATAAAGTTTCAATTTATTGCCAAGCTTAATATTTGAAAAAGTGGCTGGATGAGTAGGAATATAGTTGCAACTTAATTGGTTGGCCTAACTGTGCTTCAATTTTAGAAATTATTTCTATGAAATAATTTCTAAAAAAGAAAATGAAATGTTTTTCATACCGTTCTTAATTCTAATGTATTCCTCATGATGCAATCAATTCAGTCGTAATTTTTTGTTCATGATTCTTCTGGCTATGTGATTATATTTGAATTTAAAATTTTGAATTTTGGAAAATATGGGAAAATTGTATTTTACCGAAAATCAATATGTAAAAATGAAAAAATTCTTCGTAAATTTAAGCAAGTCTTTAACCAGTAGTTTTTAAATACAAGTGATTTAAGTAAATGATTTGAGCAAATATTCTTAAGTAAGTTTCTGGAATGCTATTAAAATTTTGTAAAGCCTTAAATTACTTTAAATATGGTTTAAAAGTTATTGTACCTATGGGTGGATTTGAATTTTTGAGCACGATAAATACAGCTTTTCGTTCTTTTCTTTTAAAAAAACTACAATATATATTTTACCTTTATGTATAAGTATTGGCTATACCTACTAATTACCCGTTTATTTACTCAAAAATAAATTAAATGAATTTGATTTCTAATTTACATTTGCTTATTTAGTTCACATTCGTATGTTTTAATGCAGTTTTGATCAATTAAAAATTTGAAAACTGATAAATTTACGAAAAATTCCAAGGGATGTTATTGTAGAACATTCCAAAATCTTTTTCCACTTATTCTCATTCCTTGGCTTATCCATTATGCAAGTATTTTGAAGAATTTTGTTAAAGGATAGCGTAAGTGGAAAACGTTTCAACTCGTAAATTATTTCTGAGATGCGGCCATTTCTTTGATGCAAAAATTTACGACTCGTATAAAAAGGGAAAAAATTTCTCAGATAACAACCTTTTGAACATTTAATTTTCAATCTTTGCTATCTTTCCGTCTTTGTGAAAAAGCTAAGACTTCGTTTTCTCACCTTTATGAAAAGAAAGAAACTGGAAAAAAAAAAAAAACGTAGCCACGTAAGACGAAAGACTTTCAGATGCTGGAAACATTTATTTGCTCAACGATTATATATCCAAATAAAAAAAAAAAGAGAATTCAAAAAAAAAACGAAGAAAAAGAAAAATCCAATGAGAATTTTGACTTTGGATGTCCTCAACGTTTTTCTATGCTTTCAAGAAAAACTGAAAAATAAAATTTTACGACTTCCAATTTCATCAGTAACATTCATTCAGAAAAACGGAATTGAGGAAACGATTGAAATGAAAAAGAGAAAAAGGTGAAGGATATCTATCGGTCTGGAATACGATACTTAAGGTCGTAAAGGGAAGAAGAAAAAAGTAATGAGATGGTTGAATGGAGAACAGAAAGGCCATCGATGTGCGATCATCGATGATTGTCGATTGTGTTTGATTCGGATGGATGAATTTTCTTTTTTTGAAAAAGGATTGTAAAACGGAAAAAAAAATGAAAATTTATTGGAATCACATCGTGAATTCTTGGTAATGACAATGATGAAATCTTTTCGAACCATTCATGAGACAGTGAAACGGAAACGACCTAATAAACCGGAAACGTTTCTTGATTAGATGGAAAATACTGATGAGGCTATTCTATGGATGATTGGTGTACCGAACTTTGTAAACACATCCGAAAATTCAACATGGGACATTTATTATTATGGAATGGAATGCTTTTCATTTTAGTTTTCCGATTTGTTGCAAGGATGAATTCGTTGTATTATTTGCGTCCCAATCTCTCCTCCCTTAAAAAAGAAGGAACATGAAAGTAATAGAAAAGTTTTTTAATTTTGGAATTTCAAAGAATTTTCTCCAATCTTATCATATATATATGCTTATGAATTCATTGAACATGAAAAGATGATTAGATCAAATATTTTCACGCTCTTAAACTGATATGACTATTCCTTGATTTCACGAGTAAGCGTTACAGTTCACGTTGTAACGTGATCACATACACGCAACATATATACAAAGATAAGTTGAAAATGATAAACTAACAATTTCATCCAGTGTTCGTAATTTTTTCTTTTGAAAGCGGAGCAAAAGACTAGATGGAATCATCTGTCCTTGTGCGCCACTATATTTTATTTTATAGCATTTTAGATAAACGAATGGACCACACATGGTGAACAGTATTTCCAATAAATTATATGGAAAAGAGGGAGTGGAAAAAAGTCGGTGAGATGATAGTTGAGGAAATTCTTTTTTTTTTTTTTCTTTTCAGGCAAGTAAATGACTTGGGAAAATTGAAAATTTTTGGAAAGGGAAGTGCTAATGTGTCTAAGTTAGATGAACTATTCATTAATTGCATTCTAAAATTTCACGATATATTTAAAAACATTTACCATTGGATCATAGTTGGTAAATTGTTTGTTTATTTTTTCATTCGCTAAGAAGAGAACAATTTGAGAATGATCCTTATTATATCTGATCAGAAATTTATGAGCTATGTTTGGAATTTATTTGCTTCTTTTTTAAGGCAAATTACAGTATTCTCAAAAAATAGTAATATGATTCAGCAATATGAAAAAAGAAGAAAATTTATGGGTGAATTTATTAATGAACTAACAATTTCGCTTTTTTGTTCCGTTATTTTTTGCAAAAGAAGCGAAAAAAAAGGAAATTGAAATAAAAAGCCTGAAATTTGAATAATGCTAAGTATTGACCACTTTCAACTTTTTTGAAAGTAATACTTATATCTTAAACCATTTTACATATCATTCCAATTGATAGGCTTTATTAATGTCAAATTTTATCAGCAATATTTGATCAGCAGCATTTTATGAAGATATTTATGTTGTAAATTTCAAAGTTTGAAAGTGAAATATAAATGTAAGCATTTTTTAAAACATGAATTTAGATCCGTCACTATTATATATTTCAGGTAAAATTCTGCATTAAAAAAAACAAAGTGAAAGGTTAAGAATAAAAATATTCGCAAAAATTTTAAATGGAAATTCTCAAACATTATTTGGGAAATTTTACACTTCCAAAAAGATCAATGATTGGTACATCATCTCAGCTTTTTGAAGATATTTACAAGTTGAATTGAAATTGAAGTTAGGTCAAGTTGACATAATCATAAAGTAGTATTACTTTTTCTACATGCAATCCTAATATAAGTTTTTACGGAGTAATGACAGCAGTATCAGTTGTCGTATTTAAGTTCCAATATTTGTTTTACTATGAGAAAATAATTTGATTAGCACTGTAAACCAAAATTATTTTTGGTCAGGTGTCACTGATTTGCTTAAGTTTGCAGTAGATATATATTCGTAAAATAGATTTACGACTCTAATATCAGGTCATTAAATTTAATTAGTTGATATTTTGGACCAAATGCACTTCACGGGAAATATCTTTTAGTATGTTGAAAGTTCTCGACAAAAACTTTCATTTATCGACACTATTTAACCATTGGCAGCTGCAGCTGAATATCATTACAAGCCTAATTAAATATGTAAAAGGGATGCAATGGTCCAAAGATTTAATTATCAAAACTGATTTTGGTAAAAATTCAGATTATAAAGCACATTTCTAAAATTCCACGCAATAATGATGAAAACAAAGATAAATTTAAATATTCGAAATGGAAAGGAAAAGGAAATGGTAGTTGATTGGAGTAAGATTTTAAATAATATCGTAAAACAATCACTCTAATATAAGACATCAGGCTGATACGATGGTTAAATTATGGGGATTTACCGTATAAATGCAGGCTTTTGGCATAGAATTGCCCGATCCCATCTTATGGGATGAAAATTCATCGAGATTTGCGGGATTATTTACGATATGCAGCATATAACAGTCGATGATTACACATTGGAAGGCTAAAGGTTTTTTTCTTTTCTTTTTTTTATGGACCATAATTTGACTTATGACTTGAGACATAAATTAAGAAGACCTATCAGTTACCTCCGTAACCTTTGCCATTGACCTTTACTATTGATGAAATGAGAAAGCACAATGATTGCAATACAGAAGAAAATAAGGTAGAATGAGAAGTTAGATTTTGATTAGAATGAATGTAAAAAATAGAAGTAAAGAAAGAAGTAAACAGATGGAATGTATGTATCAGAGGTGAAATATCATCTTTCATTGATTCATAAATGGATCGATCACTAAATAAATATTTAGTTTTCATCTGTGGCTTAAACTAGGCAAAAATCACATGATTTTTCTGTATAAGCCAAGAAAAACAATCTTCTTCCTAATTTTTCCTAGGCCCATTTTATTGTACCATAAATATTAGATCCTAATTTTGTTCAATTTTTAATTGTTATACAACCAAACATTACTGACCATAATCGATTATAGGCTTTACTTCAAATTACATTGTATTAATTATTTAATAAACGATTGAATGAAATGATGCCATAATTAGTCATCACTCGAAGTAATTTCAATCTTTCGTTGTAATTGCAATGCAATGTGATATTAATATGTGTTTTTATGGAAATAAATGAGTTAATTATTACGAAATATAAATAGTAATAGAAATAAAGAAAAGAAAAGTTTAATAGTAAAAAGAAAATAACAATCGTTTTCATCTTTTTGCTTTTTCTCCTTTATTTACTCGAATAAATCATTCATCTTTTTTGTTGCATATTAATAGATCGAATTCACATAGACATGGACATGGACATGATGGACACATGGACAGGCAGACATAGACACATGGACATGAACATGGACACATGGGCAGGTAGACATACACATACACACACACATATATACAGACGGCCATTTCTATTTGAGAATCTTAAATAGCAAGGTTTAAAAAAATGCACTTTTCGGATAGGATGAATTTTTTTTTTTTTTTCTAAAAGAGCAATATGAAGTTCATACAAATATATAAGTATAACTGAGTATATATATATATATGTATGTATGTATAAAAGTAAGATTTGTAATGAGAAAGGGAGAACTGAGCAATTAATGATAGAAGGATTGATTTGGTAGAAAAGGGTAAGAAAGCGTTAATAGGATAGGAGGATCCCATCCCATAATCAAGCAACTCCTTTGCTAGCAAAAAGACCGATCGTAAAAAAATGGACTGATCGACTAGACGGCGGTTAAACATCAAAGGAAATACTTTATTGAATGCTTCTCCTGTTAGAGTCACATTTTTAAAATAATGCTCGTATTGCTTCTACTGGCTGCAAAAGAAGAAGCAAAGGGAGAAAGAAAAACATAAAATTTCAGTTTGCTTACATTTTATATCTATTAATAGTAATTTCAATATTTAGCCAATAAATTTTATCATTTGACGCCTAACTTAACCTTTCTATTCTTGCTACTATTAATGTAAAATTTTCGCATCAAAAAATTTGCATTTATTAATAACATGATGTTGCCATATTTGTATATTCATTTGAAATATCTTCGAATATTAAATTATTTTCGATCATTTTAACATCTATTTATGATTGAACGAAATTAAAATTCAGATTTGATAGAGAAATTACAAAGAAAAACTTAACTCTTTTACTGATGTATGATAACTAAAATGATACTATCTCAATCAATGCTTATATTTATAATACTACTAAAATTTGTTTAATCCACACTATTATAATTTCCTGATCGATAATTGATAATGTTATTAGATCAACCTGTTTCGGATACTATTAACTAACTCTCTATTGGGATGATATAGAAGAGGGAAAAAGAGAAGAATTGAAATTCTCAACTTATTTAGTTAATCTTTTAAGTTAGCCGCAAAATAAATGATGGAAATAGATAAGAATGTGAGTGATAAATGGAATTTTTTATCTCAAACTATTGTAATTGAGTGCATTTAAATAGAATCTGTAGATCGATTTGATAACAAATGCCTTCCTTGTTGTTGTTAAATAAATAATACTGGCCAAAACAACTCCTTTGAAAATTCCCGCATTTCAATCCATCATATCAACCAACTTTCCACCTCTTTTTACCTTTAATATTTCAACCCAATTTTTTCTCTTCCTTTCACTCCCTTTCTTTTCTTCTCTTCTCTTCTCAATGTGTATCACTTTATCAGCCCTTTCCCTTCATCCTTTCTTTGCATCTATAATTTTCTTTTTTTAAATACATGCTACAAAAAATTATTCATCTGTTAAAGCATAGGTTTAAATTTTACAAGTTTAAATTTTATGTGGAGAGGATAAAAAAACTTTTTTATTTTAATCTGGTTGAGGTAGCTAATTAGCATTGGATGAAGAATATTAATAAGGTATTGAAAGATTCATTGATAAAATCAAATATTATAGGAAGCTGATTACATCTTTGTGATTATATCAGTGATAACAAGTTTTCTTTGGAGCCTTCCAATTGATAACGACAAATAAATTAAATACAGCCTAAGAGAAAAGGACGAAGGAGGAAGATTAATGTGAAATTTATCACACTCACTGACCAATGTAAATGAAAATAGGATAGATGTATGGATGGATCGAGCTTCATTGCTCATCACCCTACAGCTTTGTCATTAGTTTGCTCATGCCGACCTCCATATAACATCGTCTAATACGCATTACAGTAATCCTATGGATCATTTCAACCAATTTTTGGATTAATTCGACAGTAATTTTTTCAAAAAAAAAGAAGAAATCAAGAATTTAATTTTAAAATAATTATCGGAAATTTTAAGTGAATTTCTGATATCAGTTAACAATCAGTTCTTTTTCTTTCAATAAGAAAGAAAAGAAATATTTTTAGAAAACGGCAAACAATGTAATATGAGCCTAGTCCAAATATCTTAAATAAGACAATCATAGAGTCTCTACTAGAATTAAGGCCCGGTGATTTCTATTGGAACCTAATTTTCGAATACATTCATTGGATGATTTGAAGGCTTACATCAACAATACATCTCATATCTCTTAATCCATAAAATGTGATCGTATTTAGCAACAGATATCTATGTTGTCATGGATTTATTTTCTTTTCGAACATTTAACAACAGATTCATCTTGTCATTTCATGGAGAAACAAGGATAGAGGATTCTTTTATCCGATCTTATCGACGGTAAATGCAAAATAATTTTTCAGTCTTCAGATAAACTAATGTTTACTTTTCTGAACTTCTTGTATCACCTGAAAGCGTTTAGAAATCAACTGCTGACAAAATTTATTTTTTCTGAGATAAATGTCAGGAAAAAAAAAAACGAAAACTATCTTTTAGTAGACTTGCAAAACGCAATGACGCAACTGGAATAAAATTATTAATGAATGGTGGGAATTCCCGGGAAATCTCATATCATATTAATTAGAAACTATCGTGAATGAGCACATAAGAGCTAGTTAATAATTAAAGTTTAACATGACAAACTGTTAAAACAAAAAGTCGTTATGAAAGCTAAGTTAAGGTGTAACAAACGTGTAATTTCCTCTGTTCGCGGAAGTTTGTCCAATTTTTATGAATTCACAAAACTATGTTGAAAGAAGACTGGAATCGATAGTCTTGTTGGCACCTGTAACTTTTTCAAAGTTGAAATTAATTCATAATTTATAAGGAAGCTATAAATGGATTGTTCATATCATTGTAGATTTTGTGCCGATACACTGTTTTCAAGAAGATGACAAATTGCTTTTTCCAATTGATAGCAGATTTCAGGAGAAATATTCTTTAGAGGAATTGAATTGCTATTGGTAGCAGTTTCGTATCACAGAATTCTCTTTTGAAAGCCTAACAACCGGTACAGGTAATATGTTCATTTTATCTGAACATTCATTCTCTACCTTAAAATTACCATTCTACTTGATAGGAAGAAATGAATAATGATAAAGTTAACCTTATTATAAAAATTATTGCAGAAATAAGGAAAATGTTTTCTTTTAGAACAGTATCAATTTGCAAATATGCATGTAAAACATTAAAATATAATCATTACGAGATGAAAACCAATCTTAATTAATGATAATTTCAGAAGGTAAGTGACATCAAAAAGGAAGATAAAGACTATACAATAAATAATGCTTCTATTGTTGGGTATGAAATTTCAGTATAACTAATCTTAACATCAAACTCTCGGTTGCATTACATTTTTCAAAAAACATTGCAAAAGGGTGGGGCTGAGCCGGTGATCGAAACCGGGACCTCTCGCACCCAAAGCGAGAATCATACCACTAGACCACTCAGCCACGTAAACTGGCACTCTCGGGAAAACTATTATGGGAATTTCATTTAAAAATCTTCCGATATTTAATTTGTTACAATGTTCCATTGTAGTAAAATATTGGAGAATCCCTGTATGATTATACGTAAAATACGTACAATACCAGCACTACTCACTCTTGTTAGCATAATTATAAAAGCTTAACAAGAAGTCCATAACTCCAGTACTATTTCATGACGAACGATAAGTAACTCATATATATTTATATACTTTAAATATGCAATACATAGACATTTTGGAATAATCACTAGTACTTTAACTTTATGAAGTAAACTGACCTATAAATTTGTGGAGTGAAATTTGGAAAATGGTAAATTAAGTATATTAATAAGGAATATAAATGATAATCGATTTGTAAACCTTAAAATTACATCTTTTGAATCTTCCAATCTGCTTGATTCAATCGAATGATAGAAGAACGTTACTTATCTGTCACTTTTGTAATGATGTTATAATAATTAAGGGATACTTCACTAATCATTCTGATACTGTCAGTTAATCCATAAGGAGTGAAAATAAAAAGGAATGACAGGGAGGAGCTGTGCCGTTTATTGGCTTATCGATGATAATGATTTTTTTGAGCAATTACCTAGTTGATAAAACCTTCCCATTGATCAAATGAAACCAATACCATTGTTTTCACAGTACTTTTTTCAACGACCTTCCGATCACTCATTTATCTTTCTTGAATCATTCCTTCTATGGCTCCTAAATATTCAGCAATAATACAGCACCAAAAAGGGTGTCAAATCATCCATTTGTTCATTTGTCTCATTTACCAGTACCGTATACCCTCGCGTTGTTCGGTCGTGGATTTATAGAACAATGCAAAATTGACTTTATGATTCTCATTTTTAAAATCCATATATGAAAAGTGGGAGCTACCACCTCTTTCCGAATCATGCTCGTGACATGTTATTTTACTTCACCCAAAACGTCATACCCACTTACTTTTATTCATATAAAAGCTGCTATTTGTTCTGGATCCTCAAAAACTGATCAAATAACACAGCAAGTGCACTCCAACCTTATAACTTTATACACCAGCATAGGGGATGAGGAAAAGAAAAAACGAAATGCTTTTATCAAACAGACCGACACAAATTTTTTTTCTTCAATGTAAGCAATCGAAACAGTGTCATTTCTGATTTGTTATGAAATAACTTCCTTCTCCATTAAAAAAAAATTCGCAAGTAAAGGATATACAAATAAAAACATAATACGTAAAATTCAAGTGAATAGAAAAAGACAATTTTAGCACAACAAGAAATATTTAATTACCAAAGTTTATAAAATAATTTAAAAAGTGCAATCAAACTAGACAGGAGACTAAATGACATGGAAATAAAATCAAAATATTGCAATCGCCATACAAACCATAAGATTCTGATCCTAATTCGAATGAAACAGTTGATAAACGTAGTAATATGAATCATTTCCTATAGTTTCTATAACAATTAACCAGATATGACTATTTCTAATATTTTGAATAATCGATTTTATTTTTAGATGTTGAGAGGGAACGAAGCCTAACACCCATAAATTTTGGTTTTGTTTTTTTTTTCAGGAAAAGAAATAAGAAAAACACGAAATACTCTTCTATAATATAAACAATTTGAGTATCTCCTACAACATTACTCATCACATTTATAATCAGTATAGTCAATACAAAATTAAACCAAAATAAAATAAACAGTAAATTATTGACCTTGATTCTAAGCTCAGATACCGAGGTCATTCCAGGCACTGAAGAGACCACAAATGAAGAAACTTTAAAAATAATGAAGTTCGAACCTTGTCAGCATACTTCAATTCCACTTTTCTTTTTCCAGCTCAACTACCAAAAACTCCAGTGCAGATGCATGGGAAGAGCTCTATATCGAGTCAGTGGACATAACGCTGTAATAAATGCTCTTTTGAAATGGATGAGGTATGATGTGTGCCATACGTATGAGAGGGATTAAATGACCTCCCGCTGTGAAAGAAGTGTTGAAATAAGGTAGAGAAGTATACTGTATAAAATATCTCAAAAAATGGAATATAGTACTATTTCAAACATCATAAGAAAACTAATGTGATGAAAAGTGTCTAAGACTATTTATTATACTTATTTACAAATTAGACATGACCAAGTGGAAAGGAAAAAGCTCACTGAAATGATTCTATTACAAGTTCAATATTTAACGTTACCACCAGCTTATCAATCTAAAAAAAAAAAAATAAGTCAACAACTGTATAGCAGTGAGGTAAATCATTCGTTAAAGAAAGCAAAGGATACAGCACTGCTGGAATGCCAAAAGGAACTCTCTACGCATTCCTAACATTTCATGCACAGCATTTTCCCAGCAATACAAAGTTCCAAATCTTTCTTCTCTTACTGCTCTTGTTTTTCAACTCTGTCCAAGTGTAGCAATACGAAGCAATGAAATTAATATCAGTACAACATAAGGAACATTTTCGATCTCTCAAGAAACGTCCTCACCACAGTCAGTGTCGATGACGATTTGGATGTCTGCAATAATATTTAGAATTGGATTAATTAGCTTCCCACACATTGAAGAAACACAAGTAATCATTGAAAAACTCGTAGCAATTGATTTATTTAAAATGATTTTATTACATAAATTGACCATGTGTCACAGTAAAGCCGAAATCATCCTAAGGAAATGATCGGCAATGTTCTACGTTTAAACATGTGCCAAATTAAGAATAACAGAATACAAGAAACACAAGAACATGGAGATATAACATTATGAGTTAATATGTCGCATGTTTTCATGCAGTTGTAGCTAGAAAGACCAAAAGCATGGTTAACATTCAAATCTAATGGTTATACATTATGAGAAAGATTTTTGGTGAAGCACGAATTCATTCTCATGAATACAAAATAAAAATTTTCATCAAAAACTGATTAAAATAGAAAACCCTTTTTGATCGCTATGATTTGTAAATTCATTTTTTTTGGAAAATGTTCAATGCATTAGAAACGAATATTCGGAAATATGAACACTCTATATTACCTTCGAAGTAGTTCGTGTTCTTCACTAGAATTTTCACGCCAACTACTTTTCGATGAACTGTGAGCTGAGTAAGAATCATATTTGTGTCCTGATGGTCGTTCTAAGCTATGTCTTTTCTCATAACTGAAATAAAAGAAATACAGATGAAAAATAATGGTAGAAGAGAACTGAAAACTCACTCCGATGGTTTGGAACGATGACGATGACTGCGTATCAAAGGACGATGTTTCGGTGATAACCTCTTTGGCGATGCATGACGTTTTCTCAAAGATGACGACAAACGAGAAGTGTTATACGAAGGGTATGAAACCGCAACGTCCATGAGTGGAAGCAGTCGGGAAGCACCCTATAAAGACAGAGATAAACGATATTAAATTTATGGAATGACTTTTATTTCTAAAACCACAATTTCTAGCGAATGAAACATTCAACTAATACTGGAAAGGTGGAACTTGTAAAAAGCTGGAATTTGCTAGAGAAATTGTTGGGAAAGATTTTAGGAACAGATAAGACAGAAAACCCTCTTAAATTTGATTAGTTCTATTAATTTAAACACATACATAGCTTTCTGTTCCGCAATTCTTCCCGCTACGACTACCATGTCTGTTTGAGGATAATAACATGGCAGGAGGCCGTTCTTCACTCAACAAATCTTTCAGTGTTTTCTTTATCGGTAGGTTCCTGAAACATTTCAAAAACAGCACATTTCATCGCCCTATTGCACTAACGTCAAAAGAAACAAGCGTTTAATAATTTTTTGCTACAGTATTAAGAAAACAGAAAACACTGGTTTCCGTGAAAGCTTGGTTGGCACAATGCATATGCACAACATACGAAAGAAGCGTAATAAAACTTATAATATATAAGCAGTTGACAATTTTTCAATAGCTGACTTACTAAAAACATTTTTTGGAGAAAGTCATAAATCAGTCAAGAATGTGTCAAGATTATCGAGATCTTTAAATCATTTGTTTCGTTGTTCCTAGTTTTAATGAAAGGATAAGAAAGGTAAGAAAGCATAAAAAGGGAAAAGATTTTTTTATGAAACAATTTTCATCAAGAAATGAAGAAACTACCTCTTCGCATTTCTGAATTCTAAATACGATATTTCAGTTTCCAGTAAAGATGGTAGTTTTTGTGAATTATCTCGAATATTCATTTTCAGTGCTTTCAAATCAACACTATCATCAAATGGGAATAAGCTGCAGAGCTGCTGACCCGCAGCACGCTGTATCTCACAACCATCTGCAGCAGCGTATATCACTTTTTCTAAAAAAGAAAAAAACGTATAAAAAAATGAAGAATCAGTCGTGAGCAATACTTTCAAAATTTCATTGTATAGATCAGAAAACGCAAGTTTCAAAATCGGAGCAAATCAGATTGTTTCTTCAGCAGCTTTAATTTTCATTCAACAATGTCTTAGAATAAGAGAGGAATGGTTTGGTCATTGTATTGTAATTCTCTTTCTGATAATGATCATACTAGGCATAAATAGTTAAAACCCAAAGTTTCATGGCATTTAATGGGTATATATAATTAGGAAAAGAGTTCGTACGAGCAGACAAGATATACAAAGCTTTATATTAGAGAATTTTTATTTAGCAAGAATCGACTGAAAAATTATTCGGAAACGAAAATCTTGCTAAGGTGCTACAGCATCAAAAAATTCCTATCTAGAATATGTTTATGCACAAAATAACACGGCTGCTGCAATACAACAGAGCCTTTTGAAAAGTGGTTTGAATAGAACGAAATATTTTTTTTTTACAGGTACCTTTATTGAACGGATTCTTAATATGATCACTTGCGCTAAGTGCAAGCGGATATTTTGTAATCCATTGCAGCCTGATATTACCACCACCTTTGAAGTCAATCCATCTCATTGCTGGTTGACCTCTGTATAGCGCTTCCGAACACATCCGTGCAAAACCTATCACAAAAAAATATTAAGCAAGATCTATATTGCTTCCTGCTTTTAGTGCAATTATTTCGACATTAGCATTAATCTGTAAATTATGCCGGAAGTACAACATATTACCGGCAAAATGATTCGCATTTCGTGCAAGGAAAACTAGTATCACAACCGGAGCTCGCCGATATGCTTCAGCCAAAAGTTTTTCGATGAATGGATGGGTTGTCCATAGTGATGTTTCCATCGCTAACTTGATATTTTCTTCACATGCTCGTGCCAGGAAGAACTGCGCTCGATGCATTAAGCATTCTATTTCGACCGATTCTAAATGGGAATGTGTTATTTATTGATAAGTTATACCTTCAAATATTGACGTATAAAAGCATGTATCAAAGTCATATCACTACTTTAAGGAAGAATAAGATCAACTGCCTCTTGTAGATCACTGACATCAATCTGAAAACTTAGTATGATTGCTGGAAATGATGTAAAAACGATGCACAACAATTTACCTGCACAAGTGATCGCATCTGGGCGTTTATAAGATTCTATCGAATGTGCCCTTTTATAAGTTAACGTATCTTCTTTTTTCACCAAAGGCACCGAATTACAACGGGATGGCTCTAATGTCTCGTCTGCAAAATTCAAAAGAACAGCTGACTGAAATGATATGTAAGCAATATAGTTTTGATAAGAATGACAAGAAATGATATCCCTCAAGAGTCCTATTAAATCATCATGAAAGTACAACACAGCACAAAACCTAAGTAAAATGAATAGGACCGTTTAAAAATGAAAAGTGGCCTGAAAAAAACTTTGACCCTCAAGTACTTGGAAATAGTAGGGGATTTGAGTCCATTTTTCTCGGAAAAATTACTGAAACTTAGTCCTGAAAGAAAAACTAGGCGAATAAGGTAATTTAATACAAAAAATAACCATGAGTTTCATTGCATTCATCCCTCACCACCAAATCCAAATCCACATCGCCTTCATCCAGCTGGTCCGAATGATCTTCCATAACGACAACGATGCCATCATTATTGACTACCTGTGTTGTTGGACAATATCCGAACTTGTTGTTGCTGTCATGGCTTTTTTTGGTAGACTCAGAAGAATTTCTCTGTTTGCTTGTGCCGTAATTGTCGTCGCTATCTTGTTCACCTGCATTCTTTGATGGTGATGATTTTGGCGTTGTCTGATCATTGACGGACGGATTTGAGGAATCGTCTTCATCTACAGGTGGGCAAAGACTGCATTTTTAATCTTCTTTTGGGTATGTGATGAGGATTTAGAGTTTAAGGTTCGAGGAAGATACTGTTGGCATAAGAATGCCGTTAACGGTGAGATGGAGACAATTAGAACGACAAGGACTCATGTAGTCAGTCAGGAACCTGAATTGGCGATTTTCAGTAGACAGTTGATTCCCAACATCACAGCCAAAGTTAACTGGAAAAACAGGGGTCTTAATAGGAATGAGATAGCGAAGTTGCAGAAAACAGTGTTTTCTATCGAGTAAAATAATGGAGCTGTCGAAAGTCTTATTACCTTGGAGTAAGAGTAGCTGGAACTGTTGATGGGCTTACCATCTCTGCCAAACCAAGCAAAATTTGGCTGGTTAACGGAAATGGAAAATCAATGTAATACGAGAAATTGTCTTCTACCACAGATCAAATTCTGATGAGGACAAGGAAGATAACAAATGGAACGGTCAAGGGTAGGTTTCATAGACGTAGGAATGGTAGTAGTTATCGATTTGTATTTCAACACAACAGGGGCAATAATCCCACCGAAGAGCAAAGCTGAAAGAAAAGAGCAGGATTTCTTGGAGAAAATTTCAAATTTTTAAGTAAATTCAGAACTGACGAAATTAAAAAGTCAGAAACAGTCTCCGAAAATCAGAATGTAGTGAAGAAAGTTGATACTGTTACTATATATATGATTAACTATCCCGTATCAACATTACTGCATTCCAGCACACTACTCAAGTTCCTGCCGTAAGAGAGAGAGAAATCATACCCCTTTATTATGGGAACTTGACTTATTAAGATTCCATGTTAACTTTTTTTATGATAGTTACTCCACTTCTCATGTTTTTGTGGAAAATAGAGTATGAAATAGTAAGCAAAACAAGCTTGCGGAAAGATCATGTTGACAAGCACAACAAAATACATATCAATCATTATTAAACAATACTGAAATGACATATATTACTTTCAAAAAAATATGTTATTATGATGCGGTTTATGCTCAATTATTCAATGCCACACGTCGCTTAGAAACAGTATAACTCTGTGCTGGACTCATCACCCTACTGATGTCACAGCATTTAATTTGGTAACTCCTGGATAGATTAAAGTATTGGATAAGACTAGCTGATTTACAGTTGCATTACTTGGACAAGTTACTAATCATTAAAGATGGCGTCGTACAGAAGTCCTAAGTGACTTCATTCTACAATAATTTCACTATGGATCATTCGTGCCTTCCGTTAAAAGACTACAGTTAAACTTTCTTTGGAGTATGATTTTTAGGTGACGCCTGGAACAAATAGGACTAAACACGCCAAATGCCCAGCTACTGAAATGTCATATGTTATTCATAGGATTCAAACTTTTGTTTTTCTTCCTGTCACTTAATCAATAACCTAACAAAAGGATTTAAACCAAGAACATAGACTGTCAAATGTTAAACTGAACCAAAATAACCTACTGATCCTAAGTACACAAATGCTTTTTTGAACACTGTGAAAATAAGAGAAAATTATGCCAAGTGCTAAATATGACAGGGACAAAAAGCTTACCACCATTGTAAGAATCTGGTGAATCATACAATGCTTCATCCTTGGGTTCTGCCATCAAACCAGTTTTTAATCCTTTTTGCCTGAAATTCAAACTTACTTTACATTTAAAACAAAATATGGAGGTAAAAATCATATAAGACAGCTTAGATTTGCAGCCCGTATCAGTTACAGCACTAAGAATAAAGATGTAATGTACATCTCAGTATAATAAAGCGGTATCAGTTCGCCTTTGAACAACAGCGCTGAAAGAAATATTATTACTAGAAATGTGCAAATCACATGTAAGATAAAATTACGTACTGTAAGAGTTAAAATTCGCAAGTAAATAAATACATTACTAGAAATACGACTAATACATAACCAAACCTAAGATAATATCCTAAGCATGGACATAAGTATATATGTAATTCAAATATGTAAGTACAAATATAACTTCAATACAACTTATACTATGTATAAGCAATGATTGACTCCAATCTCCCTATGCTATTAAACTCTTGGAAACCGATTAAACTGTAATTATAAGGATCCGTTCAATGTATTTCACATGACGAGAAAAACGACCAGAATTGTCAGATGACACAATACAGGAACTCTCAGGAAAAAAGGAAGGATAATAAACAATGATTATGCCACGAACTGTCCAACATAATGGACAATGAATGGACAAAAAAAGCAACCCAAACTTAGTCGCCAAACTTACAAGGATCTTAGATATAATGCTTCTATAGTCGGGAAGTGTTTCATAACGAAAATTGGTTATGAACTGATTTGCAAAACTAACTGATTAAGTACTTTCTATAAGTGAGCTCTCTATGAGAGAGTAAAGAAGTAGGAATAACATTTGTAAAGGTTAGTCTTTCTCTTTCATATGTACTATTTCTGCTTACTCTTAGTGTATACTCTTCTTCTTCCTCTAACCAATGTTAGTCAAAAACTCTAGGATGAATTCTCTATATCTATACTTGTTGAACTATTCGAAATGTTCATTGAATTAATTGAAACTTAGTCATTTGACGAATCGAAGAATTATTTCTAATAATAATTATTGTTTTCTCACCCTTCCCCTCCTCCCATAACAAGTTTACTATTCGATTGTTGGATCTGGAAATCTCAGCGTCTTCACTTCCTAATATTATTTCATCCTTATTCTTTCATTCTCTTCTTGAATGCAAGTTCCTTTTCTGTCTAGGGATGATAAAGAAATAGTCCGTAGTATAGAAGAAAAGTGGGAATTAAAAGTATCGGTAAAAGTATCTCCCTGTGTTTCGTGTACGTTGAATAAAAATTTCAATCCCACTTCACTTTTATTCAGTTTTCTTTCAATTCGAATTTATTAATTCATATTAATTTCTCCAATTTACCAGTCAAAAACTGGTCTAAAGAATAGGTGTGACATGTGTGACATCTCTTTTCGCAAGCTAACTCTGTTTCCTATATTCCCTATCATCTTCAAATCTATTTACTCAACTATCACATAATGATGGAAGTTGTTGGGCACTCACAGATTTCCTTTCAGTTCCTTTTATTCCCGATAATTAACTATCTTACTTTTGCCTATTACTCCTTTGTAACTTCTATTCATCCATCTATATGATGCTTACGTCACTCACACGTGGTTGATTGCATATATGATTACGAGAAATTCAACCGAGATGATGAGAAACCAGTGAAGAAAATATGGGATTAAGTAAAGGAGGAATGAGTGCAGAGAATAGAGAATAGAGAACAGACATAGATCATCCCATGAATAACTTGGAATAGGTATTTGAATAGCCACATCTGTTCAAATAAACATGATATCCAAAGTGTTCAATAAACAGAAGTATCCTTCCCCCTCCCAGTATAGTAATGTTGAAACCAATCTGACAGGTTTATGATGTACAAATTTGCAAATTTAAAGCAAAAGTTTCGATAACGGTTGCTTGTTAATCGTACTCGGGTCTTTTCTGTCACCTTATTTTTTTTTTTTTTCTATTTATCTTTTTGATTACTTTTTTCCTTTTGTTTTTCTGTTATTTGTGTGGTAGTTTTTTAGCTGATCAATTATCAACTAACCACATTAGTTTGCCATCCTGCATCTTTTTAAGAATGCCAATACTAATGGTTATTGTATATTTATCATCCTTCGAACAGGACTACTTAGTTAGGAGAACCGTCTTCTCGTTTTAATTAGTCTCGGTAACTATCAAAGTCGTTGCCTTCGGGCGGTCACAGTCTCATCGGTTCGCTGAGAGCTGGTTATTAATAACGCGAATCTTATGCAGGTAACAGATGGGTGGCTTTTCCACTAAATGTTTTTCACATCGCTTTGACAACCAGCAATTAAAATTGTCAGTATTGATTAATGATGATAATATTACAGTAGGCAGTGAATATTGGCGAAAGCTATGATAGCCATAAGTTTTTGGATAATAAGATTTATCATGGGTTAAATGTTAACATTAGCGAGCTAGATCCTTTAGAATTGTGTTGGGACCGGACATCGCATTCTTTTTCAAATTTAACAAATATTTCTTTTAATCCTTCACTTCAGCATAGTCTCGCGATGCATATTGGAGAAGCGGAACGAATTCGGCACTAAGAATTTATTTATATACTTATATTGAAATAATCTTTCCGGAGATGGGTATGTCTTCCTTAGTTCTCTCTTTAAATCGGATTATTTCTTGATTTTCAGCAGTTGAATAACAGTTTTATATTCAAATATTTGTTGATTCATTGACTTCTGTTGTCTGTAACTCTTATGAATTGCTTTTGGAGCTGTCCTGCAATTTCCACCGCCAGAAACGGACCTGATATAATTCTATTTTGTTAATTTTTTCTACTTCATATAGCTGCCCGTTTTCATTGTTGGATGAATGACTTTTTTGAAGTTTATAATATCGTTCTGCTACTGTTCTTCTCGTCGTACTCGATAGTTTGACAAAGGGTGAAACTAACTGAACTTCATTTTTGAAATTTCGTTACGATAGAAAGAGGATATATCCGCTTGCGTAAAACAAGTTTTTGTTCAGGACAACGGAAAAGTATTAAATGCAGCCCTCCTTATTTGATTTTCCCTTTTTCGCATTTTCCTTTTTTAGATATCTCCGATTGATCAAATTAATACCTAGAATATTTCTGGTTATGTACCATATCTTTCAAATTTTAAAGAAAGTTGTGATTTTGATTATTTGTGAGATACAATTCGTTCATGTATTGCTTGTCTAACAAAAAGTTATTGTATTTCAGAACTGAAGAATGACATTATAAAGGGTATAGTGCGATATTTATTCTGCTTTAAATGCCATTATTTTTGCATTATTCCAAGTGTTATTTTGATTTTTATCATTTACCAGTGGTTATTCACTCTGCTGCTGGAGAAGAATACTGTTACGGAAAGACCAGTAAGTCAATCAAATTTGTATTCTTATTGAAGATCTTTTAGAATTCAATTCACTTTTTTGTTTTTTTGGAATCTTATTAATTGATAAATAATGAAACTAACGATTTTCACTCATACCGAAATATAGAAATCTGGAAACGTTTTCAGTGCTAAGCATTCAACTATGACCCTTGTGAACAAATGAAACATGAATTGAAAAATATGTCGGACAAACGAGTCAGATCTTCTAAGAGTAGTTATCATTTATTTTTGCATTTTTAAAATTGCGTGGTCCACTTCAGTCATAACTGTGAAAGAAAAGGAAGCCTGTGGAAAACAAGATTTCCCTGAGAAGACGATTAAATGATAGAAATGAGGAATTCATAAGCTTCTTTTGGCATATCATCTTGTTAATCTTGGTTTAGCTTGATATTTTTAACTGTTTCTCAACGATATTTGCTACGTAATTCAGTATGCATATGCGAGTGAAATTTAGACTTCCTTTTTAGTTATATTTAGAATAACCACTAGATAATAATGGATAAAATCAGGACTGAAAACCGTTTGTTTGTCTACTGGTGAGCTAGAAATCTTTCTGCGTTTTAACTGTTACTTTTCAACTGCAAAAATAGCTGGTTTGATAGTGTAGTGATTATAATCTGCCTTTCTAATCGTTTTTTCCTTTTTTTTTAAATAGTTTGTCTATCAGTACTTCCAGGCATTATCATTCTTTTTTTTCTGATAGTTAAATGCTTTAAAGCATTTCTTATTTGCTCTGATCGATTCACGCCACAGTTTTGATAGCAGTTACTCATTGGTTACGTTAACGCTTCGCTTCTGATTCGAATGGATGAAGGACAGTTGCTTTTAAGAGGGATGAAGTACAACCTTTAAATTGAGGAAATTTGTTGATGAAGTACAATAAATTTCCTCAATTAAAGCAAATTTAGGGATAGAGAATGAAAATGTTTTCTGATGTTTATTTCATCTAAATTTGGATTTTCATTCCATCTATATGCTAGGAAACTTGTAGAAAAGTTGGAAAAAAAGAAGGTTGGAAAAGTTTTGTTCGCAAACATCAAATAATTCAAAGGAAACTATTTTTCTTTCGATTCTTTCGATTAGCTTATTATTTGTTGAAATTTCCCTGAAGTTATGAACTTACTACCTTTCCTTTCAGTTTTACAAATGAGCTTCCTTCGCTACATCGCCATAATTCTCTCGATAGAAATTACTTTGAGATTCTTGTATCATAGTTTCTGAATCAGTTTTTCTTGCGCTGCATATTGAGGAGCATTTTTTTATATAAAACTTGAATTGAGCTGCTTGGGTTTTCAAATTGATTGAATTCTACAAAATAGTTTTTTTCAACTTTGGATTTTTTGAGCGCTACATCTTTTACCTTACTCTGAAGCTTCCAGAATAATTATATTATAAAGTTTTGTATAAATGTGGTTCGTCGATTGTGGTTCATCAATTTAATAACTCTAGATGTACATATAAAAGACTCTGTTATGGCAAATTTATTGTATTAGTGATGATTTGTACTACTGGCATTTGGGCGATATGAAGATTTATGATAATCCCTCTTCTCTTTTAATTTAGGGAACTTAGATTTGGGACAGTCACTGCTTTTTCAAGGACCAGTTTTCTAATAATTCAAGTGCATGGAAATGGAACTGTTACCGTTATTAATTTCTTTATCAACTGACACCTTTTTCTTCACGTTATTTTGCTTGAAGCCAACTAGAGCTACATCCTATGCCGACGTTGAAAGGAATTATTTGCCATGCACCTTTTACCATATTAACTGTACTAATTTTACGCTTCATACAATTCATTCAAATTTGGCGACTTCGGTAATTATAATGAAACTTGATCAATCCATAGAAAATTTTAAACTTTTTATTTGCAAAGAGAAAGAGATTGATTAAATAAATTTTTTCGAAGTATCAGGAACTAGACCTTGAAAGACAAAGGTATCCCGGATCAAGTTTAGATCTAAAATTCAAAATTGTAGGAATGTTTCAGTCAAAGCAAAAACAATTGAGATGAAATCGAAATGTTAAGAGAATATGAGGTTATCAGTCACTACTTTTTTGAACTACTGACATTTTTCTGGATTTCATCTTTTCATCCTTTTCCAAGAAGAGAAAATGGAGGTATGACACCTTGAGTCATTCTTCCTGCTTTCTAATCCTTTGGGATTAGTGGCTGTCGAGTATGGAACGATTTTTTTTTTCATCTTTTTTTTCCAAAGTAATAGTAAACTGTTGAAGTATATTTTAAATTTTAAATGTGTACTTGATTTGATGTGAGTTGCACCGTTATTTACTGAATTTCGTCAACGTTAGTTTTCATTTTGCACCAGAATAATCAGTACTATTAAAAAATTTTTCGTTCATAGTAGATAGAGTTCTATCACAAGATTAAAGTTCGAAATTATCCAGAGAAGTCAGTCTGATCATTAATCATTTTGAAAACAAAATTTTTTAAACACTTTCGAAACAAAGTTTTTGAAACACTTTTCACTTTCAGTTAATAAAACCACGAACATTCGAAGTCTTCGCTGGCAACATAGTGAATTTAGCGGTATATATCGAAGCGCAATGTCCGGATACTTCGCGCTTTGTCCACCGACAACTTCTACCAACATGGCAAGAATTGTCCGTAACAAATAGGATTTCACTTAAAATTGTGCCTTTCGGCAAGGGGACGTGTCACCGAGTTGGCAGTGACTATAGGTAATTTCAAAATAATTCTTAAATAATGCTAATGGTGTCGAGGGATATGTGCATTATGTATTGACCACATGGTATTTGATTTACCTTCATTAATGACGGTAATTTTGATTTTTATTTCTGCAATTTCATATTTTTCGTAACTTCTTTGCTTAGCAAGGTTCTTTTCTTTGCTTTAAGCATTGTAGTGTTGAAAAGAATGTTTGCTTTATAGGATATATAATGAGATAAACAGTAAATAAGTTGGTATGCACTAAGTAATAATTTTGTTTGGCTACTTATCATTATTTGTCGACCTTTCTGTTTTTTAGTTGTGAATGTCAACATGGACCGCTAGAATGCGAATTGAATCAGCTTATGAACTGCGTGATTGAAATGATTAGGATTCCACGTCAGTATGTCCCAGTAATATCCTGTATCCAAGGAAAGCATGATCTTCGTTCAGCTGAATCAAAATGTTTATCCAAACTTCTTGTACCCAATAAAAGGTTAATTTCAACAGAAGACAAGTGGAAAATTTGAATGAAGTTTTTAGAATTATCAGAAATAGATCTTTCTCATGTCTCATTGGCCGGATATTGTTTTCCCTATTGCTGGTATGTTTTTAGTGCAGAGGCGGGAAGAGCTGTACACTCCGTTATCAAGTTCTTAAATGGATCTGTATATATATATATGCTTGCAAAGATAAGATACGATACTTTTGCTCAAGTACACTTTTAGCTAAGAGATAAAACATGGATACATCTTTTTCTATTCTTGCTAAGGTGGTATAAAGTAATCATTGATTAAGCAGTGTGATATGGTGGAAATCCCTTAGTGATTGGTTCTGTGTTGTTGAAAGATTTATCGACTCTTTGTCAGTCTTGGAAATCCCCCTTCCTTACATTATCGATTATAGTTACCTGAATATTTTAGCATCCTACGATGTGCTGAAGGAAAAGAAGGAAGAAGACTTCTGGCAAAAGCAGGTGCAGAAACAAAACATTTGCAACCACCGCTGAATTTCGTCCCTTGGATTTTGATTAATGGCAATCGTTCGAGTGATGCATTTTACGATCTGAAAACGAATCTTTGTAATGCGCTAAATCCCGTACCGGACCAGTGTAAGGAGCAGCAATAAATAAGTTCCATTCTTTTATGTATTTTTTTCAAACTTCATTGTCGTGCTAAAATTCAGAATCAGTTACAATATGGATGTAAGTTTTGTTATCATAATTTTTTACTATGTTTTGAAAATTTTGAAGGCAAGTGTTTTACAAATGTATTTATTTAGCAGCCAAATTATGATACAATATTACAAGTATGGTTTTGGCTTGAAATTAGGAAGTGTAAACTTATTCACGCAAATTTTGCTCATTTAGTATTTGGCTACGTGAATACCTTGATTGCTGAAGAAATAGTTTTATGAATAACTTGATATTTTTGTTTTGGATTTTTTTCTATGTTGTCTAAACTGACTTCAGTTTAATTCCAAATTTTCAAGTTTTAGCTTGGACAATATTTGCTATTATCGTATTGACATGCTGTTTTGCTTTTGTTTATTTATTTCAATTCTCTCTGAGGAATTATAGGAAAGTATACAACAACTTGCTGGGCACTCTGCGTTTTATTTGGTTAATTTACAATGAAAGAGAAAACGGAAGTAGTGTGTCAGCTTTAACTACCATCATTCATTTGAAAACTTTATGGAATAATAGTTCCTTAACAATTGCAGTTCAGAGCAATAGTACAAATCCTAGCTTCTAAATATCGAAAAGTTTCTATTTTCATTTACCTCTACAGTTGATTCGAACCATTGTATTACAGTTTTCTTATTATCTCCTATTGCAAGATAATTTGTAAAAATTTGCTCAGCTGATTTCCGCCACTACTTTTGCTTTTAACTTTGTATATATTTTAATTCAAATTTAAATTAATCTTTGCAATAGCTATCATTTCATTAATTCTTTGGTAGTCACCGCACTGTCGTTTTGAAATTTCGTTCAGTGAGTATACCATTTATTTGCTCTCTTCCATTTTCTATATGTATCCTTACCGGTTACTTCACTGTGATAAGAAAAGTATTACCTTACCTTTTCTCATTTTATTAATTGACTCATTTCATGGATAATTTCATCTTGCATATAAACTTTTCATCCCAAAGAAAGTTTTTTTTCCGCAAAGGACAATTTAATTACTGTTTAGTAAGTCAAACAGACCTTTGAAGGAACTGTCTAGCCTCGTTTTTCATTTTATTAATTTGTGTATGTTTTAAAATGGTGTAAAAGTTTTCTTTACACTCACAGCGGCAAATAAAACAACCTAAAAATAAGGACAACTTAGTAAAAAAAGTTAGAGTTCGATAGGCAGTCGTTGGAAGGAACTTTTGCAGCAACTAGATTAAAACTTCCATAGTGATAAGTTATTAGACATAAACACAAAATGTACAAGAAATTTTTGGCACATTAGCAGAGCTGTCACATAGGAAGTTCTGAGTTGCGGTTTTAGTAAGCCTTGAAGAATTCGTCAGTTTTGTGTATTATTCATTCTGGTAGCACCAAACACTAAGCGGTGATTAGTATAATAGTTGGGTTTTATCAAATTTTACAAGTAAGTTTAGCTCACCACTCCATCAGTACAAAAAAACCTTTATGCTATATTAGATGGTATCTTTCAAAACATTGTTGTCTCATGCCGAATGCTGGGGTACGGTACATAGCTTACGGGCCGAGTAAGGTTTCCCAGAAATTTTGGAACTAAACAGAAATGAGGGAGGGAGGGGGGGAGAGGGGCGCAGTCACTGTTATCTAGTACATTTGGTTCTAGACTATTTTGTTAACGCGACTTCACTACATCGAACAATACTTATCCCCTGCATTGATTAACTACTTGCTCTTAGCCATACACTCCACATGAAGTTACATTAACTGGAAATCCTCGTGTATGACGACTTTCTATTTTATTCTAAGGTTTCTTTCAGCAGCATTTTTTAGATAGTAGGGAATAAATCTTAGGGTTTATGTTAGAGCTTGTTCGAACTTGAAAGGTACAAGTTCGTTCTTTCCGTTTTGATCATTTTATCACTTTGCAACAAACTGTTTATGCTAAAAAGTCGTAGTTTGTTGAGTGGCACTTTATTGTAGAGATTGTAGAGATTATTGTAGATGTCAAAGATCATGTGAGCCAGTTGCCATTTGTAGTGTTATTTGCTTTAGTTCATACGCATGTGAAGTGACTTGAATCCCGCTCCATTCTTCCCTGGACATTTGCCAATCAGTTTATTCAGAAAATCAGTGCATTTAGAACTTTGATCTCCTCTCATACTTTTTCATTTCGATTACCTAAACAAACTGTTTAAACAAGAACTTTCTTATTGCAAAAATCTATCAGATAGCATTAAGTCGTTATATCTCCTGCACTATCTTCATCCCTCCATTTGTGCACTTAGCTGTTGCTCTTTCCATACGCGTTGCTTCTGATTCATACATTGTCATATTCCCGTTTATAATAAGCAGAGGGGTCTTGTTTTATGCTATCTCTTTTTTCGCTATTTGTTTATAAAGATTCGCAATGTTCTCACATCTTTTATTGTTGTTATATTGGCATGCAA